CATTAAGTCTGAGCCTGTGCTAAGGTTCCCAGACTTTAGCTTACCCTTTGAAGTTCATATAGATGCTTTTGACAGGTCCATTGGTGGGGTGCTAGTCCAGGAGGGACACTCTTATGCATTTGAAATCCAGAAGCTTAAAGATGCATAGTAGATATACTCTACTCATGAGAAGGAAATGACAGTGGTGGTTCATTGTCTTGATGCCTAGAGGCATTATTTGTTGGGTATGAAATTTGTTGTGGTGACAGACAATATTGCTAATTCAAAACACAAAAGAAGCTATCGACAAAGTAAGCGCGATGGAAAGAGTTCCTAACAGAGTTTGAATTTGTTTGGGTGCACTAATAAGCGTTGAATATCTCATATTCGAGCCTTTAAACATGCATAAGTTAGTACCTTAATATTGCTTTTATCTTGATTTTATACTTATTTTTGATTATTTATCTTTCGTAGGTTGTTTCCCGAAGAAGAGAATCAAATCATGGTTTTGAAGCATGATTCAACGTTCCTAAAGCCTTTGGAGGTATTCTGGACTTTCTGGGGTGATTCGGAGGTCAACTGAGCAAATTATGGTGAAGTATAAATAATAGGGCTCGAGCAATGTGTCACAGGGCTCGAGCACTATGGCAATAGGGCTCGAGCGTTATTTTTGAAAAATTGGAAAAATGGCTAAGTGTTGAGCAAAAAGACACTTTGGAAAAACTTCTAAGAAATTTGGCTAAGTGTGGGATTTAGGGTTGGAGTGCTGTCAATCGGGCTAGAGCGCTATACATAAGGCTCGAGTGCCAATGACAAGGCTCGAGCGCTATTTTTTCTAGGACGTAAAAACATATGCGGGAAAGTTGTAAACTTAGCCTTTTTGGTTCCAAATGGGCCCAATTGCCTCCAAAAGTTGTAAAGTCCATCCAAGAGGGACTAGGACTTGTTCTGCACTATAAAAGAAGATAAAAGGTCACAAAGAAAGGTTCTTAGCAATTCTGACATCTCGTGGCGACTTTTAGGGTTTTGAAGTTATCTTTGAAGATTGAAAAAGAAGATCCCAAGAAGAAGAGTTGCAGTCAATGGAGATGGTTTCTACACCAACAACGATGCTATCCTTCATCTCCATGAGTAGCTAAATTATCTCATAGGGCATTGATGTAACCCTCGTCTGAGTAACATGATTTGATTGTTCTTAACTTTAGGGATTTTCATAGTTTATATATTTTAATTGCATGTTTGTAAGCAATTGGGTTTTTAATGAATTAAATCAGTTTTGATTAAATTGATCTCTTGTCTTAGAATTAATTTTACCTAAACCGAAACAAAACTATATTCATTGTTAGAGATTGGTGGCTAAGGGCTTCTCTTAACGGTTTGAGTAGTGATCATGCAATAATGCTAAATTGAATTGTGAATGACTTTTGATGGTTTATGCCTAGGGAAGATGAATTATACTATACATTAGTTCAGAGTAGTTGGGTAGATAATTCATGCCAACCGAAGATAGATTATTGTTTAACGTTAATTCATTATTTATCCTCTTGAAACTGAATTAGAATGCACTTGAAGTCATTCAATTCCTAATCATACATAAACATTGAAATCCCTAAGGTTAAAGCAAATGACCGTATTACCAGGCTAATGGTGAAGTCAAGCTATAAGTCTTTCTTCCTTTGATCTCACTATTTGATAATTTTGCTTATTTTCAGTTTTAATGCTATTTACACATAATCAAACAACCAAATCATCTTTCCATTGAATTAAATTAACGATTAATTTTATCCTTGGCAATCCACCAAAGTCCTTGAGCTTCGACACTCTCAACATTACCATATCCTACAAAGATTCATTCTATTGCGAGTGGTTTTTATCATTAAAAAAACATACACATTATACACAAACCAGGAAAGTAGAACCAAGTTGTAAATGCCCTAAGTAGAAAAGAGGTGCAGGCGTATATGACTGCACTCACCACTGTGCACACAGACTTCCTTGCACGGATTAAGTAAGAAATTATAGGAGATGTTACCTATATCACACTCCAACAATAGATAAGAAAGATGGCTTGCTACGCAGATACTGGATAGAAGATGACTTAATCTATACCAAAGGCGGCAGACTTTATGTCCATAGCGATGAAGGACTTCGAAAAGAATTGATGCGGCGGGTGCATGACACTCGTTGGGCCAGACATCCAGCTATTGAAAGGATGCATACTCTTATTTCACGGAGTTACTACTGATCAAAGATGGAAGATGACATTGAGGCATAGGTCAAGACTTGCCTGGTATACTAGCTTGATAAGCTGGAAAGGAAGAGAGAGGCAGGATTATTGCAGCCCCTGCCCATTCCAGACTGAAAGTGGCAGTCAGTTTCCATGGACTTTGTTTTTGGTCTCCCAAAGGTAGATGAAATGCGTTCCATTTTTTTTTGTTATAGTTGATAGATATTTAAAATATGCAGTGTTTATTGCATCACCACATGTCTGCACCGTCGATGTTGCAACAAAGTTGTTCTTTAAACATGTGGTGAAACACTTTGGCTTGCCTAAGGACATAATTAGTGATCGTAATGCACGATTCACAAGCCGATTTTGGACGGCACTCTTCAACTTCATGGGATTTGAGTTAAAGCTCTCCACAGTTAATCATCCACAAACTGATGGTCAGACTGAAAGAATGAATTAGCTGATGAACGAGTACCTAAGGTATTAAGTGATTGCTTCTCAAAAGAATTGGGTTGAGTTATTTGACGCAGCTCAGTTTTACTACAACTGTACTATTCATCAGGAACATGTATGAGCCCTTTTGAGTTAGCCACTGGGCGGCAACCAAGGACGCCACAAAAGGTGGCCGTGTAGCGGACAGGCGATAAGTGTCCTATAGCTTACAGGTTTGCAAGGTTTAGAACAGAGATGTTTAATGAGGTGAATGATAGCTTAGCTAAGGTTAGCCGATGCATGAAGAAATATGCAGACCAGCATTAGAGGCCTTTAAAATTTAATGTTGGTGACAAAGTTTTGCTGAAGCTTATGCCCCAGATATGGAAGAAGATTACCAGCAAAACAGTGCACAAAGGGCTGATTCCAAGGTATAATGGTCCCTTCGAAATGGTGAAATGGGTAGGCAATGTTGCTTATCGTTTGAGGCTCTATGACCGCCTCAAGATCCACCATACATTCCATGTGAGCTTTCTCAAGCCATTTTATAAGGATTCTGCTGATGAAAGTAGACAGAAGACTAAGCGAGCTACCCCGGTTATCAGAAAGCAATTCGATAAAGAGGTTAAAAAGATCATTGATCAAATAACTCAAGCGCAGAGTGAGAAGAACAGAAAGACTGACTATTTGGTATAATGGAAGGGGTGCAATGAAGCAGTTGCTAGCTAAGAACGTGATGTTACATTGTGGCAATTTGAAAAACAGGTTAAGGAGTATTTGGATCAACAACCAACAAGGGCGTTGGGCTCCTCTAGTGGGGGAGGTTTGTTACAGGGTTGAGACTTTGCCCCACACAGGGCTTAAGTCGGGAGGCATCCTGACAAGGCTCTTGACAACCTGTATAGGGCACAAATGGCTGTCAGGTGCACACTACATGCGGCAGTGGCATTTTCATAAATATGTCAAAAAAATGATGTTTAGAGTTTAGTCATAAGAAAATTATGGGAGCTTCCTTGAAGTCTATTGATAAAAACGGATTTCAACTTGGAGGTCCAGAGAATTTAATTTGCACATTATGCCTCCTCGAATATAGGGTATGTTTACCCTTGGCAGAGTTCTGGTTTGCCCTTCTACATTAAAAGGGAGGGGTATAGAGTTGAAACCCCTCGCCAACATTCTCACCATTCAGCGTGGCAATGGCTTGCTATGCATTAAACAAGTGTTGGGTGCTTAGTTAACGTGCTTAGGCATGGCATGCACCACCCCAAGGTGGTGGCTTGAGGAAGACATCCGGTGGCGCGCCGGCGTCACCAGGGATGGGCAGTGCATGCGCGCGCAAGCATCCGTTGGGCGCATCCATAAGGTGTGCATCATGCCCTCATGTACACACAAGCAAGCTCCAAGCCTTGTGCATGGTTTAACAGACCATTACATATGGGTCCTTGGATTGTGCTAACTTGCCTATGGGCAAGTGGTGGCTCAAATTGACTCAATTTGTGAGCATGGCTCAGCGCTATGCCCCAACAAACCAAGGCGTGGGCTAGGCTTGGTTAAGCTTTGGCTAAGGTTCACATTGCAAAGAAAGGAACATCAGAGTGTTGGCTTGAATCAAATGATGCGGTTTATGGCCCATGGCTCGACATGGCTAAATGGTTCGGGTTTAGTAGTGGTTCCAACAGTTGGGAGTGGTTGCTGAGCATTTCCTCCTTATATGCACCCATGATGTAATAGTGAAGTTATGCTAGCAACCACCAATGACATGTGGCATTCTCTGAGGGTTGACAACACATAACAGTTCCCTCCATTTCTAAAGACACGACCAGGATCTGAAGATATGGGCAATTTCTGTGGCGACGTGGCAGTGCTGGAGTGTGCCACCACAACTCAAACTGTTGGCAGTAATGCCAGCATGATCCTATAGTGGAGGGGGTTGTCTCCACCACCCTTGCAGTCGTAGACAATTTTGTAAAGTTGTCTATAAATAGCAAGGTTGGGAGTCTGTCAGAGGCATATAGAGATATATTGTGATCTTGTACAAACATTAAGAATTCCTTGTACCATTTCGTGAATAATAGCAAAGGTTGGAGGCTTTAGCCTCTGTAAATATTGTGCGTCTCTTGTGCCGTTCTGTTTATATGCTGTGCATATGTTGAGTGGCTGACTAAGTCAGAATTTGAAAGTGTTTTTATTTTTGGTTTAGTGCCATCATAAGGTAAGGATTTTGCTGCGAAAAATTGACCCGTGACAATTACCGTATTGGATAATAAATAAATAAATAAAGTTAATCCCTTGTGTTTGTCCATGTTGAAAAGGGGAGCACAAAGTAAAAAGAAAGGTATGTTCAACAAGAAGAGTAGAATAGAAGAACATAAAAAGAACATTTAGCATTAGCTTGTTAGCCAGGATACTTTCTCTCTTCATTGCCAAATCATGAAAAGGAGATCAGCTTAAGTTTAGGTTTTCTTTTCTTCCATCAACAGAACTAGTACATGTAAATTAAACCAAAAGAACAAGAAACATGAAAAATATTTCCTAAAGCAGACGTTGTACTTACAAATCTCTATCAAAGTTATGATGGGATCTAGCCGGCAAACTACTATAGTCCTGTGCCACAATATCTCATCATTTACAAAGTTTTGGTAATATAATTTTCATGGCATTGTCTTTTATCCTTCTGTAGCCATCATAAGTATTATTTGCAGTCACAAGAAAATAAAACCATTTGTGAATGTGTCCACGAGATAGGGAATTATTCAAATTTAGGGTATGAGTTCGAGGCAATCCCTCCACTGAGGCAAGTATATTCCAAACCTTGGGAGAATAAGATCACTGAAAAAACAGATAATTCACAGTTTAGCTTCCTCTGCATAAGATACATATATCATTCTGAGCTACTCCGCACTGCACTAGAAGATCCATAGTTCGCAGTCAATTTCTAGCTGCTACCCACAGGATAAAAGAATATCTTGGAATGAAATACCAGGACTTGCGCAATCTTTACCTTGGGATTTCAAATGTCTTGCAGTCTATTTCTTAGCCTTGGAATTGCTAATAAACAGTTGCATGTTCTTGTGTTAACTGCTATCTTTACCTGCATCACAGTATAAAACTTGGGTTTGCACATTGATTTCAATAATGAAAATCTAGTTAAAATCAATGATGAAAATCTAGTTAATATAATCCATAATCTATCCATGAAATCTCTTCCAACTTTAATGAATTTCCCCTGTTCAGTTAATCAGAAATCTGATAAAAGATAACTAGTTATTAAACAAGAAAATTTGTGAGATTCCAAAATTAATTTTCTTTTCATTGGTAGCCAAATATAGATTTTCAAGTGTTTCTTTAATGTATTCAAGTTTATGCTTGACAAATCTGGTTTGGTTATAAAGAATGTTGAAGAAAATGAAAGAAACTATAGATATATGGATTTACGATATATATATAAAGCTTATGGTTTATGTTGTAAAACGATGCCAAATAGTTTTCCTGTGCTCACGTCAGTCTACCATTTTTTTTTCTCCTTTTGAGACAGCCGAATATGTTCTTGATTTGACTCCATTTCCTAATTCCAAGAAGTTCACTTGAGAGATGGCCGAATGAAAGCGAGAAATCCATATGAAAGTGAAGCAATAAATTTCAGTCATAAATGCTAAATGTGAGGCTGCTCCATAATTACTTTGTCTAAGTTGATTTTAGTGAAATGCAGCCTTTAGACTACCATGGCAGTGTAATTAGTCTCCCTAATTACATCCCATGATAGTTTTCCCGAGCAGTAAATATCAGTGCCATACCTGTGAAGCGTTTTTGATGGATAAAATTGCATAGGGAGTTGCCTCCCAAGTGATATGTTGACAGCGCTCCATCATTGACTTCTTCTTGACAACGAACATTGGTGTTGTTTGAGATGCCATTCTTTTTATGCTCGTACACAACATCGATTCCGAATTCCTTTATCTTCAAATAAGCCCATGAACCTACTGAAACTTTCATTGTGTCGCCGACTTCCAACGTATTCCCCAGCTTCCAGTGGCATAACCATATCATATGTTTGTTGTCATCCGGAATTCCTATGAAGGTTGGCCTATATGTACAACTCAGACCCTTGGTCTCATTGCTACTTGTAACATATAACAGATTCCAATACATTTCTCTCATATAACTGGAATGTCGGCGGTCAGCATGTGCATAGACAACACATACATTCAAGCCTTGAACCTCGAGATTAGGAATTGAAGGCATGTTAAAACATATTGAAGACTCGGTGCTCTTATGGCTAAACGAGACTGGAACCTCATTCCCTGGAAGAAATGTGCTAAACATTCCAAATTCATAGAGCCCCTACAGCAGTAAATTATAATCTCAAAAACCTCTCTCTCACACACACACAGAGGAGAGAGAGAGAGAGAGAGAGAGCGCACCTGGAGGCGAACTTTCCTTTCTGTAAATGTCATGTTACTGTACAAATTCACCTTGACATTTCCTAGTAATTCGAAGTTGGACAAGCCCAAAATGTTGATAATTTCTGCATCAACAGTTCCTATGGGTTCTAACTTGAACACTCCCTCGACTTGAACTAGTTTGCCACAACCGAGCATGATAAACAGCAGTGAACCCAACATGTTTGGTAAATTTGCTACCATTTCCATTGACCTGCAATTGCGTATGTCCAAGTAATTTAAACTCGTTGGAAGCTTTGGAAGTGATTTGAGTTTTCTGCAACCTTTTAGATTCACCAGAACTAGTCTCTCCAATTCTCCAATCGATTCATCAACCTCAATCAAATTTATGCAATCTTTAAAGATCAATCTCTCAAGATTAGGCAACTTTGAGAAATTAGGGGTACTAGTAAGCCCATGGGAATGACTGACATTGAGGATTTTCAGTGATTTGAAAAACTGTCATAAAAAAAGAAGGAATTTAGTTCCTAAGAATATTCATGTTAATCCCCAAGGAAAAGAAAAAAGATAAAGAAGTTAATTGTTAGCATATATGATGGCCATGATTTATGGAATGACTTGCCATATTAGTAGAGATTTGATTATGCATACGTTAGCATATATGATAGCCACAATTATGAAATGACTTACCATATTAGCCAAGCCAGGTTTCGATCCTGGGACCTGTGGGCCCATAACCCACAAGTCCCAGGATCGAAACCTGGCTCTGATATCACGTAGAAAACAATATAGAAGAAAAAGGAGATAATTGTGTAAAGGCTTGAATAAGATGAATCATTCATTCACAACTCTAGTATTTATAGATAAAGAGAGCACATGCTCATATTACAAGAAAGGAAACTAAATCAAATCACAACATATTCTAAAGCATATTCTATAGCATGATCAAATCTCTGCTAATATGGTAAGTCATTTCATAAATCGTGGCTATCATATATGCTAACATTAATACTATAACTTGGTCCCCTTCCAAACTTTTTTTCAAGCTACTATTACACGTGTCTAAGAGCAACTAGGCTTTCCAGAGGGAACTCATTGGGTCTTGAAATGACAAATTAAGGGTTGAATTTTAAAAATTGTATTAAAATGACGAATTAAATGTATTGAATAATTGAAATAGTTTTGAATTCAAGAAATAAGGGCTTGGCGTTCACCATATAATTGTGTGGAGTATCAAAAAAAGTGTTTTCTCTAAGAGGCACAATTCGTAAAAAATATGTCAAAAATCCTTGAGGTAAATGACCAACACTTTTCGACATAATTTTGTTGAAGTGTAGAAACGAGTGTATTGAATTGTCGAATAAGCGTGTAGTATTCATGAAATGCTGTGTTGAATGACGAACTAAGGGAGTGGTATCCTCAAAATATGTTTGTTGAATATAGATGTCAGTACACAAAATCCTTAAAAAAAGGTTGTTGAACTTTAGCTCATGAAATAAGTGTGTTGATCATCAAGTTCTATATACACAACTCTATTCATCACATAATAAATATTACCAAAAAATTCAACCATAAAAATTAAAGGGTGGAAATAAAACCAACAATATAACCAAGCTATTAAACCACAAATCATAATTTCTTTACCTTTATCATTTATACCTTTGTAATTTTTTGGAACCCTAGAGTAAAAGACAAGTTGGAGATGTTGCTTGTGGAAGCAGGTGGCGAACACACCGGTGATGAAGAAGAGAAAGAAGAGGAAAATATGAAGATCTGATTTGAGCGGGACTCTTTGCAAGAATTCAACCCAAAACAATAAGTAATAAAATATTCACAGTTAAAGTTGATAAAACTCAAATAGTAGTAATCACTTAAGCTATGTTTTCGGAGCACAACACGGTACAGAATTGATAAGCGCCGAATATTGCATATTCAAGCGCCCTTAGTTGCATTAGTTAAGTCCATTATTTGATTATTTTATGTAAATTAACTTCATTTGCATGTTTTTATATATTTTCAGGTTCATTGGCCAAAAAGGAGCAAAAATGATGTTTTGTTCAATCTTTGAATAACAATGTGCTCAAGGCTAAAGTTCTGGCAGTAGTGGAGTCTGACTTTGCTCGCCATTTTTGACCTAACAAACTCGAGAACTGGACTTCCATTAAAACATGGCGTATTTAGAGCTTTAAATTAGCTTTCCAAATCTTCAAACGGTTCGTCATTTGGAGTTCGGAGCAGAAAGTTATGGCTGTTTTACCAAAGTAGTGCAAAACAGGTCAAGAGAAAAGAGCATTCTGCCCAAACTTCGAGCGCTCGAAGGGCTTACGTCGAGCGCTCGAACTTTGAGCAGAATGCTCTTCGGGATCCATCACTTCAGCCCACTTGCTCCTTGATTCCCTCATTTCTGATTTCCATCTTTATGGGTTGGTTGGAGATGTCTTTTGGTGGGAGTTGAGCCTTGTTTGGTAAGGGTTTGGTAGGATAATGTCTACAAGAAGGTGAGGGGAACCACATATCAATAAATCATATCTCATCTTTGCAAGATTTTTGGAGAGAGAAAGAGGAGGAGAAGATAGAGTTCTTGAAGCTACAACAAAGGAGCTCGAAAATGTGGATGGAGACCAAGCTTCTTCCTTCTTCTAAGGCTCCCATGGGTAACTAAACCTCCATCTAGGGAGGTGATGAGGCCCTCCTTTGTAAGCATGTTCTAATTTAGGCTATATTTTGGGGATTATAATGTATATTCTATAGTCTTATCATAACCAAGAGCACTTCATTTATTGTAATGAATGTTGATATATGTATGGATGATTTCTGTAAGTTGATTATCTTGTTTTAGATGATATCTTATATTAATCATATTGCTTGAGTTTTCATGGTGAGAATGGAGACAAGGTTATGAAATGGTTTAATGGCATGTTGATAAGTACTTTGATAGATCATTGCTTAGGTGAAGCCTTTGATGGTTTATACTTATTTCTTACCTTCATGTGCTTCATCATTTTATCTAGGGCTTGATAATCTTTCATTCAAGTAAATGTGGTTAAGCTACACCTTAGTTAGGTAGTCTAAACATGTTAACCTTTGATGGATCATGCTTGCTTGAGATTTAATGAACTTCTTGAGGATATTATAGCAACCAAGTGTTGCTATGTATCATGACCATAATATATATTGTTTTCCCCCCAATTTAGCTCTAATCTAGCATGTGTATAGGGATGGAGCCGGATTCACTTCCCTAGTCCTCTTTACTTGTATTTCATCTCCTTTAAACTCTTGCAAACTTTTATTTTATGCATCTTAATTTCATAGCTTAAGTGACAACCAACAAATCTTCTATGAACACCCCTATCATTCTAAAAAGACTCTAGACACTTAGGTTGCCATAAATTAGCGCAGTCCCAGTGGTTCGACTTACCCGACCAATAGCCTTATTTTACAATGATTCGTGCTATTGCGAAGGTCGATTTATTATAGATCGAATTCTCAACCGATCAATTTTTGGTACCGTTGCCGGGGATTGCAAACGGTTTAGCAACCGAAGTTTTAGGGATAACTTTAGTTTGATTGTTAATATCATGAATTGTGAATATTTCTTGTGTAATTTGACCATCTTGTGTTGTAAGTGAGATTCTAGGAACTCGGGGCTCACTGAGGGAACGCTAGCAAATTTGTAAGTCTAGGGGACTCCAGGTAAGTTTCTTGACCTTCTAGTTTCGAATTTGTAATATATTGTGCATGTGTTAAACTTAGTGATAATTTAGTTTTAAAGCCCTGGTTGAGGCTTTTATCTTGTTTAAATTTTGTGTACAAGCATCGGTCCTTGTCGTGGCCATTTAAATTATGTCTTAATAATTGAGGAGAATGGGAACATCGTATGTGGAGTTGTGAATGATGAATAGTTGCGTTGATAGCATTATGTATTGTTGATGTTTGGCCGTAGATCACTCTCCCTACCAACTCTTGACTCGCCAGTTGACATAAATTCACTTGAAAGAACTCTTAGACGAAACCTTAGGGAATCTTCTAGCGTAAGAGAACTTGAAACTGAATTTAACACAATAGCTGAAAATGTAGGAGATGTCAGAAATGAGGGAATTAATAATGATAGGGCCGAAATTCCAAATGTAGAGCCGATGACTCTCAGAGACCATTTCATCACTACTACCTATGCTTCACCTTCATGCATAGTGATGCCAAACATCGATGCGGCTCAATATGAGATCAAATCAAGTACCATTCAAATGCTTCCATCTTTCCATGGCCTTGATAATGAAGATCCGTATAAGCATCTTAATGAATTCCTTGAAATCTGTTCGACCATCCGGTTGAGAGGTTTCCCTGAGAATGCACTCCATCTGCATCTTTTCCCATTTTCTTTAAAAGATAGGGCAAAGTATTGGTTGAACTCACTCACTCCAAATTCCATCACTTCTTGGGCTCAATTACAGTAAGAATTCCTTAAGAAGTATTATCCGGTGAGTAAAACCAACCAAATGAGGGGTTCCATTCTTAGCTTTTCTCAAACGGATGGAGAACAACTCTACGAGACTTGGGAAAGGCTACAAGATCTTCTTAAAAAATGTTCGCATCATTTGATTCCAAAATGGCAATTAGTGCAAGCTTTCTATGCTGGATTGACCAAACCCCATAGATTTATGGTTGACTCTTCTTGTGGTGGGATGTTCATGTCCAAGAATGCGGATGAAGCTTGGACCCTATTAGAGAATTTAAGCGAAAATTCACTTCAACATAATTCTCGTAGGACTCCGACCTCAACCAATGCAAAGAACACCAACCCTTGTCAACCAAAATCAATAAGGGAGGAATCATCTCAAGTGGATGCCATAGCTCATAAATTCTATCAATTGATGGCACCACATCTCTCTCCTTCATTATCTCAAAATTCGGCAATTTCGGTATGCTCATCATGTACTAGTCCATTCCATCTCACGGAAGATTGCCCCACACCGAAGCAATTTTCCAATCCAAATCAAGAGCAAGCTAATGCCATGTTCTCAAGATCCGGGAATAATCCCTATTCCAATACCTACAATCCGGGATGGCGAGATCACCCAAATTTTTCGTGGCGGCAACAAGCCCTACAAAATTCCCAATTCCAAAATCAAGGGCATCAAAATCAGCCCCCTCCTCAATTTCGAAATAGGCAATTTCCAGCCTCTTCAAGCTACCGTCCTCCGTATAATCCAAATGTCTCTAATCAACCTCCGGTGTACCCAACTGATGAAATTGTGGCTACAACAAGCAAATGATGGAGTCATTAAACAAGCAAATTATGGATTCCAACAAGCAACTCTTGACATCTTTGCAGCCTACTCTTCAAATGGTTCACTCTCATACTCAATCCATAGCTAAGCTCGAAAATCAAGTGGGCCAAATAGCTAACTTTGTGAACCAATTGCTTCAAAAGGACAAAGGCAAGCTTCCCGCTCAACCATTTGAAAATCCTAGAAGGATGCATGCGATTGATGAAACCC